GTGGTACCTCAGTCCCTAACAGTGCAGTGGTACCTCAGTCCCTCACAGTGCGGTGGTACCTCAGTCCCTCACAGTGTGGTGGTACCTCAGTCCCTCACAGTGCAGTGGTACCTCAGTCCCTCACACTGCAGTGGTACCTCAGTCCCTCACAGTGCGGTGTTACCTCAGTCCCTCACAGTGCAGTGGTACCTCAGTCCCTGAAAGTGCAGTGGTACCTCAGTCCCTCACACTGCAGTGGTACCTCAGTCCCTAACAGTGCGGTGGTACCTCAGTCCCTCACACTGCGGTGGTACCTCAGTTCCTGAGTGCTTTTGCTTGCCAACAATGTGTTCTGCAAGCAGAAGCACTCAGCGGAATTTTGTTTCTGTTTGCAAGCTCTGCATCTGGTGATGACATGACCGTGGCCATCATGTCTAGACTCGTCTATGACTTGAGTTCGTGAACAGAAGTACCACTGTGTTAATTTTTTTCTTTTTCCGGAACCCGGGATTGAACTCAGGCCCTTGCTCTTGCCAGGGAAGCGCTCATTCCACTGAGCCATCTCCCCAGCCCCCACCGCTGTATTAATTATGCCAACCCATGAACATGGCTGATGTCATCAATAAATAGACGCTCCCCTTTCCTGGAATGCAAACCTTACGCCACTCTGTTCTTGCTCTTCTGGGAAATCTGTCCAATTCCTACCACCCGACCTATACCTGGTCAACCCGTCTATGTGGACAAAGCTAGGAAGAAAGCGCCCCCATCCTGCCTGCATGGTAAACCACCCCCTTCTTCCTGCCACCACCTGGGGAGCAGGCCCCCCGAGGAGACCTTTCCCTGTGTCCCCACTTAGCTCTTCCGCTGGATTTCCTCTTGAGAACCTCAGAGCTCCAACTTGTTGCCTGTGGAATGCTAGACCATTGCAGAAATCCCTGCCCGTAGCTGTGCGTTTACCCCACAAAGAAGGGCAGAGTGGGAACCAACCGTGCACCTAGAGCTAGAATCACACGGACCAAGCGTGCTGTCCTCACCTCTCACGCAGCTGAGTGACTCATTCTGGAGCGTATAAGTCTTTTAGGTAGAGAAAATGCATCAAATTATTAATTTTATCAGGCACAAAATCAGAATCAAAACATGAGCTCGGGTGTGCCCCCACTCGGCTCCAGGGCCTTTCCTTTGCAGTCACTCTTCCCTCGGGACTTTTTTAAGTAGAGTAAGGACATTGGCCCAAGCAGTGCCGTAGCATCAGCTGTAGACCCCGTGTAGTGCAGCCTGTCGTCATGCTCAAAATGAACTTGTACTCATGGGCTAGACACTGGGAACGGTCTTTTCCCCTTCCCCTCTCTGGAAGCCACCATCCTGCTCTGCCTGTGTGACCGACTGTTTTAGATACCTCATGTGTAAGGGAGATTGTCACAGGTCGTTTCTCTGTGCCTTTGACACTTAGCATAATGTGCTCCAGGGTCATCCATCTTATTCTAGAATGTCCCTTTTGTCCTGTGCCATACTGGGAAATCGAACCCAGGGCTTTGCACTTCCCGACATCCCCAGGCCTGCTGTGGAGGCCGTGCAGCCAGGCCCAAGGTTGGGGTTTTCTACTCTGGGTCTTGAGGTGCAGTTGGACACTGTGCCTGCAGTGGCCACCAAGTAGGCTTGAAAGGGGCTGTGTGTTTAGATCTGCGTTCCCCATCTTGGCTCAGTGTCAGCCTACCCCCAAGCTCAGGTTCCTGCAGCAGAGTTTCCAAGGCACCTTGTTCTTCCACTGGTGGAGGAACCTCCCTTTCTCTTGTGCCCCCTGCCCTACACTGAATGCCCATGGGGTGAGCAGGTCTGTGGCTCATTGCTCTCTTCCAGGTGGTGTTGATTAACGCCATCAAAGACGTGGCCAAGGCCCTCTCCGATCTCATTGGTGCTACCAAAGGAGCCGCCAGCAAGCCAGCCGATGACCCTTCCATGTACCAGCTCAAGGGGGCTGCCAAGGTGGGGTGGAGCTGTGTGAGGGGTAGGGGGGTCCCCAGAGAGAGGGTCGGGAGCACCCACAGCTGAGCGCCTTTCTCATCTAGGAGAGAGAGGTGTCTGCTTGTGGCACTCATGTAGAAGGAGTTAAGTACTCTGTTGTGTCTTCCTGCACAGGTGATGGTGACAAATGTCACCTCTCTTCTCAAGACCGTGAAGGCAGTGGAGGATGAGGCCACCCGGGGCACAAGGGCCCTTGAGGCCACCATTGAGTACATAAAGCAGGAGCTGACGGTAAGAAGCCCGCAGCCACCTCCCTCTGCACGAGTGTCTGAAGCCAGGGCTTCTCTGAGATTCTTGACGTAAAGGGGTTCTACCTGAACTCCCAAGCTAGGGAGACCCATGCCCCTGCCCTCGGTAGCACGCGCTCACTGCCAGCGTCACTGAGTTCGGCTGGGATCTCCTGGTAATTGTAATCAAGGAACTTATCCTTTAGAACAACCCAGCTTTAATTCCATTAAAATCACAGCATGAGCCACAGCATTACAGAAGGTTCCTGGCCATGGGGAAGGCCACGGGGAAACTCACAGTGGCCACTTACATGCACATACCTTGCGTTCTCACCACAGCTTCTGTGTATGGCCTCCACTGTCCACAGCCTCTCGTGCTGCTGCGCACGTGTGGAACTGAAGTGTTGGGTGCCTGCTCAGGAAAGCCGAGGTGCCTCGGGGTGTGGAGCTTTCCTTTGAAACCCCCCTCCCGTTGGTTTGTGTAGCCCTACAGATGTCAGCCTTGTTCTCTTTTGCTTTGTGCCCTCACTGCAGAGCAAGGATACCTGGAGCCACTATAGCAGGAATGCTAGTGTCTTCTGTGGCACCCTGAGGTTGTGCACCAACTCTTCCTAACCCCCACAAATACAGTTACACTGGCAATGAATGCTTTGATCGGAGATTTCTTTTTAGTAGGAACTCTGATCGCAGATGAGTCTGTTTTAGGGGGATGGGAAGGGTCAAGGAAACTGTCTGCTGCTGGGCGTCCGCCTTTAGAAAGTCACCTTCCCCAGTGACCTGAGGGGCAGCCGCGGAACGAGCAGTTCCCTTGGTATGGGGATGAGGGCTTGGGATCGCCCACCCTCTCCTCAGCAGGTCCAGCCCTGGTTGACAGGCTTAGCTCATATTTTAAAGGAAACTCTAAAGGCAGTAGGAGTCACTCAGAAGCTGCTGGGCTCACCTGGCTGCCTGGGCCAGATGTCGCCCACCTACCCAGGACCCAGGTTCAGGCAGGTGTGAGTGGGCCAGTGGTAGCGTGGAGTGGATTTGGAGCTTGGCGCTATCATGGGGAGTTACAGGCACATCGTCCTTCTGGACTGAGCAGGGTGATTTAGGGTTCAGCCAGCTTGTGGGTCTGTACGGCGTACCTGAAGGACCGTAGGGGTGTGGGGGCCTGGCCACGTGCCCTTCTTTCCATGGCGGTGCTCAGGAGCTCACGAGGTCTGCAGTCCTGGGGTGCTGGATTGCAGCTGCCCATTTTTCAGGGTGGTAACACTGGGCACCGGTGGCACCTGGCAGGAGCGCTGTCTGGGTCGTCCCTTCTGCTCTGGAGTCTTCCCTGCTAAAACATGGTTGCTTAGAGCCAACGATAGGCAGCCCCCACCTGCAGTGGGGTCTTCTGGGGCAGCGACAGGCACTCACCGGGCACACAGCCCTGGCACCAAAGCCTGGTGTTTAAAAGACAAGACCAGGTAGGCCTGAGCAGAAACAGCTTCATTCACTTGGCTGACAGGCGAAACCCAAGTGGGCTATTGACTTACCATGGTTAATTTATTTCAGCTCCTCCAAACGTGTGTGCATGTGTTTAAATAATTCAGTGTCACAGTGTCGCATTTGACATGAACACTTCTGCACAATTATGCAGTTATATTTGTGAGAGAGGCTGAGAATAGAAGGAGCGAGTGCTCCATCTCCCCAGCTCCGCACCCGCTTAGAGGGGAGGAGACGCACGTGTTCCTCCGGATCAGTCCTGCCGCAGAAGCAGCGCTGGGACTGTGAGTTTCTCAAAACTGCGGAAATACCAGCAGGGATGGGAGAAGAAACGTGGAAAGCTGCAGGGCCCTCCTCAGAAAGGGCAGTGCCATTGCCTGTCCCATGAGCACCAGTGTGGACGGCTTGTGCACACTAGGATCTGTCTTTTCTTTTTTTTCTTTTAATTTATGTGGTACTAGGGATTGAACCCTGGTCTTTGTGCTTGCCAGGCAGGCACTTAGACCGCTGAGCTATCTCCCCAGGCCCACAATAGAATCTTGCCCACAAGAGCAGCATCACTGTTCCCCAGTTAAATTTCTGATTTCCTGCTGCTTGACGATTTCTTCAGATTGCTGGCTTGGTTTTCACACACTGAGACCCAAGCCTGGCTGGAGAAAGATAAGTTACCTCTTGTCCTCTCGTCTGTAACGTTGTTCACCTCTTCCCCTTGTTGATTTCCAGGTGTTCCAGTCAAAAGAGGTACCCGAAAAGACAGCATCACCTGAAGAGTCGATAAGGATGACAAAAGGCATCACCATGGCAACAGCCAAAGCCGTGGCAGCCGGGAACTCGTGCAGACAGGAGGACGTGATCGCTACTGCCAATCTGAGCCGGAAGGCCGTATCGGATATGTTGACAGCTTGCAAGGTAAAGGGCTCGGTGTTGTTTCAAACAGTGATTGAGCCGTTTCCTGTCATCTGGAGAAGGGGCGGGGCAGGAGTAGCTATCAGGGAGCGGCTTCCCTGACTCCATTGTAAACCAGGGAAGGGCATAGGCATCCACGGGGGAAACACCACTCAGATATATGTCATCCACTGTTCAGTACTACAGCAGTCAGGGTGCCCCTTGCCAAGGCTAGTGGGGGACCCCTCTGGCAGCAGTAGAGGAGACTTGTGGGGCTGCAGGTGCGCACCAAGTGCCCTCTGCCCCCAGCCCTCCCCTGCCTCTCTGGCTTAGGCATTTTGTGCCAGGAAGGGTGTTGCAGTCTGTCACTGGGTAAGGAAGTGACTTGGAACCCAAGGTCTCCTCTCTGCACTTGACTTTCTGGGGAAACCTTCTGAAGCTTGGTGACAGGAGCAGCTGCTCCGAGCCTGCATGTGTGAGGAGGCTCTGGCCATCTTTACTTTTTATCCTTTAAGAAAATGAACTGTGACAGCACCACTCACCCCATGCCCCACCAAGCACCCAACCCCACACCTTTACCCTCGTGGGAACAGCACTGCCCCAGGACTCTGACTCCTGCTCAGGGATCCATGCATGAGGCCCCTACTGTGCTCAAGGGACAGGGAAAGGATTCACCTTTGGGGTCTGAGGAAGAGACTCCCTTGTGGTGAAGAGTTCTGTTGGGGTCACAGCTGCAGGTCCAGCGCAGATGGCCTCTTATGAACCCCTCAGAAGGAGGGTGGTTAGGAAGTACTGGGGGGCTGCAGGGAGCTGGCCATAGGAGACACTGTCACAGCTGGGGTCTCCTGGTATGGTGGAGAGTGCAAGGGTGGTCAGGTGGGTGGGCTGTTGTCATGAAGGGCAAGGCCAGGGAGTCTGGACACTGCCTGGAAGCCCCAGGTGCTGTCCATGTCAGTGGATCCAGCCCGCAGAAGTGGCAGCTCTCTAAGGGGTTACCAGTCCGGAGGGCTGGGCTCACCTGGCCTGCTGTGGCCCAAAGCATCGTGGAGCCACGCGGAGCAGCTCATGCTTGGAAGGGGCTCTGTGCGCGCTCTCCCATTTGACCCTGGCTGAGGACAAGAGTAATTGCTCCAGTGTGTGAGATGCTGCCAGAGGGCCACAGAGAGGATCAGTGACATCACCAATGTCACATGGCTCCCTCCTCGGAGAACCAGAGCCGGAACCAGCTGTCCCACCCCATGGCTGGTCTGGTTCTGCTGCCCTGACTATGATGCTCATGGGTGCTGTGGCTGACCGTTGGCAGGCGCTTCTGTCTGCACATTCCTGACCTGAAGTGAGAAAGAAAGCTCATGATTAGGCAGGCGTGGAAGTTCGGCCCGCGCAGATCCCCTGCTTTCAGGGGAGGAGGTCAGGTAGAGAAGCGCAGACCCTTCGGCCCAGCCTCAGCTCCCTTGGACCGCACCACGTTGGCTTGCAGCACGGCACAGGTCCCAGAGCTGCATGACCTGTAGGTTTGCCTCATGCAGTGGGATCAGACTTGATGGCAGGTGCCCCGCTGAGCCCTGAGCCGCCTAGCGGGAGAGGGCTCCTGAGGCGAGCCAAGGACCACGGGCCATTCCTTCTGTCTCCTGCATCCCTTCCCCCTTGGCAGCAAGGAAATGAGGCGGCTTGCCAGGAGGAGGCGCCTGCAGTAAGGCACCGTGTCCTTTGGGGAAGCGGGTCAGGATGAAAGTCCTGCACGTCACACCAGGGCCGTGTTGCCCTGCCTAAGCACAGCCTTGACACTGATGGGGCAGGCAGGACTGAGGCAGAGGCAGCCAGACCGACATGGGCTCCTCTCATCCTGGAGGAGAATCGGTCTGATCCCGCGCTCACCCAGCTGCCAAGTGAACGTGCGTGTGTTTCTGCCTGTCTCGCTCTCGTGTGCGTATGTTTTTATTAGCTACAGCCTCCCATCTGCTGTTGCCAGCGGTGTGGAGTGGCTGCTTCTGTTTTCACGTGAGTCCTGCCACCGGCTGCCAAGTGTTCTGTCAGTGCATATCGCCTTTCCACGTTATCAGATGTTCAGGGTGTCTCCATTTTTTACCGTGAACTTTCCTATCATAAACCTCTTTGGGCATATCTGGCCTACATCCTTAGGTTAGACTCCCAGAAGTGGAGTTAGAAGGCCAGTGATGCAACACTTGAGTCATTGTCAGATTGTTCCCTAGAAGGGTCTGCCAAGACACAGAGCCAGCTGGCGGACGGGGTCTCCTCACCCTCACATCTCCCACAGGTGGCCAGGAGAACCACAGTAGCCGTGGCTTCCCATAGCTTTGACCCCTCAGACAGCCAAGGGCCCAGTGCCACACTGTCGGAGGCACAAGTGCAGGGATGGAAAACACGGATCTGTGTCCAAAGCCCAGCTCTGGGCTCCTTGGAGTCTAACCCGGCTCCTCCATGGCAGGGGCGGGCCCCTCCTCCAGGGTGGGGACAGCAGGGAGGATGTGCCCCCATCCCTAGGGGGCACAGTCTGCGAGGCTGATGGGTGGTGCGTGTTCTCCTTCAGCCTGGCCTTTATTCTGACGTGTGGTTTCTATCTCCCTTGCGTCGTGGCTTCGTGCAGCTGTGTCCTTCGTGTATTTCTGAAGGCCTCCCCACCACGCTCTTTCCAGAGCAAAGCTGAAGGAGGCAGATTAGCCACGGGGTGTGAGATTGCCAGTGTTAGCAAATAAAAGACAAGCTATTGTGTACTTGTGATTAAAAGGTTTTTATTGCTGATCTGAAATTCTGGTTTAACTGGTTGTATTTTGTCTGCAATTGGGATATAATGGGTACATTTTATCTGTCACCCCGTGAATCACAATGCTATCTGACATGGTGCATCATGAACGGCTGGGGGTGGCAGGTGCCAAGTGCAGGAACTGGTGACACTCTGGTTTGCTTATCTCAGCATGTGTATAAGGGGTGAGTTATGTACAGTGCCGGGGCACCCTGCGTGCAGAGTGTCCCTGTGACAGAGCAAGCAGAGGTGGTAGGCAGTCTCCTGCTGATGACTAATTCTGAGTCGTTTCTGGATACTTCGGTGCATGTAGGATTTTTTAAATTTGAAAATAGGAGGGTGAGAGAGTGGAGAAAGAGCTGAACGCGGGTGCTTCTGTCAGAGTCAGCACACACGTGGAAATCTCCCGGGGAGGTGGGTGGGTTTCTCAGAAGCCAGGGGTCCAGCTGGCTGCACTGTGGCCGGGGGCTGACCCGCCAAGGCTCTTCCTGCTCTGAGGTGTCACCGTCCCTTTCTCTCTGCAGCAAGCATCCTTCCACCCTGACGTCAGTGACGAGGTGCGAACACGGGCCTTGCGGTACGGGACGGAGTGTACCCTGGGCTACCTGGACCTTCTGGAGCACGTGCTGGTGGTGAGGACGGCGTGGGGGGGAGCTGGGAGGGAGTTGTGGCACGGTCGCCTGGCCTGGCTGACTCAGACACAGTCTCCCCAGGTGCCTCCTGCGAGGCCGGAGCTGGGCTGAAGGGACAAGTTGATCAGGCCCTGGAGCCAAAAGTGCAGGATGCAGATCTTGGCAGCTGCCATAGAACCTAGGAGAGCCAAGTGCCGTCTGGCACCGGAGAGGTGGGAGTGGCATGGAAGAGGAACAGAGGGGGAGGAAAAGGTGTGGACAGCCGCAGCCAGCCCTGGAAAGAGCCAGGATTCTTGGGCCGGTGACCCTAGTGCATCCTGCAAGGACATGCGGGGGGGGGGGTCGTTGCCACTGCTGCAAGTGGCTCTGGCCTCCCATTACTGCCTCTATCCTGGAATGAAGGGCTTAGGTCATAGTCATAGTGACCGCCCTCCCCCGCCAGTGTGCCCGGCAAGGAGCTGCAGGCAGATGGCAGAAATGGAAGACAGCAGCTCAGAGCTGTAGGAGCCATGGCCACACAATTGCCCATCATGCAGCAGCCTCGAGCTGGTGCAGACACCCAGGTCCCGGGGCAACCGGACTCCCTGCACCCCAAGGATCTAACTGGGGACCCAAGAACCAGGTCCCAAGAGACTGTTCAGAAAAAACGATTGTCTCCCTTGCCCCCTGCTCTTCCAAACCTAAGACGGACACACAGTGGTCGCCCTTCCTGTGCATGGCCGCTCTCCCTACCCATTCAGAGATTTTCTCCTTTGTGCTGTACAACCATAGGAGCCAGCCGCGTGATCTGAGGCCCACAGAAGTTTGTGCCTGGGTTGAGGTCTCATTGCCATCCAGCGGTAGACCTGGGACCACATCCCAGTCGTCCATATTCTAGTTCAGTATCCATTCTAGTATTCTGCCACTTTATCCTTAAAAGTTATCCTCTGATGTCAACCTTTTTAGGTCTTTCGGGGGATCATTCTGTCTTTTGGGAACATAGCTCCTCTGGGGTTCGAGCCTTGGGCTCCCCCTGTACGAACCTGATGAGCAGAAATCAAGGAGAAGCACATGGGCTGAGAAGGGGACGTCCTTGCCTGGCACACTCACAGGCAGCGGCCTCTGCACTCAGCGCAGATCAGCGAGGTGTGGGACAGTGTCATTCGAGGAAAGTCAGTGAGAAGAGAATAAACCCAGCCAGACTTCACCAGGCGTCTGCTTCCTTCTGGAGCAGTAGCCGGCGGTCACCCCGATCTTCAGAGTAGACATTCCGAGATACAGGGTCTCACTACACAGCTCAGACTCACAGTGGTCCTCCTGTCTCAGCCTCCCCAGTGCTGGGATTACAGGCATGCGCCACCACACTCTGTTTCGGGGCCAGCATGGCATGCTCGGGGGTCCAGGAATGGCACAGCATGTGGTACCGGGATCGAACTCGGGTCCTTGCCCTTGCCAGGCAGACACTGAGACTGCTAAGCTATTTCCCCAGCGCATATATACTGTGTTTATATAGCCTGTCTGTAAGCATCTATCAAAAGTTGAATTTTATTTATTTTTATGAATTTAGGGTGGGCTCTACAGGTGTACGGGGTGTGTAGGGTCTTACTACGTAGATGAGACTCAGTGATTCTAATTTGTTCAGCCTCCCAAGTGCTGGGATTTCAGGTGTGCACCACCACGCCCAGTCTCAATCGGTGTCTCCGTGTGCCCCAGCAGCAGGGCTGGCACGGCAGGCTGGGGATCGAACCCTCGGCTCCTGCATCTACCTAAGCAGGCACTTTAATCTGCTGAGCTATCTGGCCGGCCCTAACAGTTGAATTTTGAATTACACATGGTAAGAGATTAACAACAAAAGTAGATTTTTAAAAAATCAATCATTACAGATATCCTGTAATAAGCACACTTAGGGTTACAGGAGCATTTCAGGAAGCCTGAGGCTCTGGGGCTGTTCACTCCAGGCATTGTCCATTTGCTTATTTCAGAGTGGGGTTGACCTCAGGGAATGTGGACAGGGTTTCCACCATGTATATCCTGAGTCCTTGTTATAGCTACACACTGGGCAGTGTCATGAAAACAGGAGATTTTGAGTTCAAATCCTGTCCATGCTGGGGGAACAGCTGCATGGCCCATTTGTTCCTGGGCTTCGGTTTCCTCAGCTGCTCAGCAGGCTGGGGTTGAGGTTAACTGAGCTTCTTGAGTAACCCAGGACTCGGGTCTCCCACCTGGAAGGTCTCCCGCCTGGAAGGGGCTGTTTCCAAGCTTGTAGCCACAGTACCCTCTGCTTGCGAAGGGTGGGTGCCCCCAGGCTCCCTCTCTCCTTGTCGTGCTCGTGTCTTTTGTTCCTGTCTGGCTCATGGAGGGGAGGGAAGTGCTGCAGAGACCTCCTTTCCAGTTTCCCAGTCCTCCCACCCCATTCACTGGTGCACTCACTCTGCAGATTAGTCACTAGCGTGGGGTTTGTGCGCCAGAAGAGCAGGTTCCACCCCTGCCCCAGTGAGTTGCAGGGCTGCTACAGGGGCAGCCACCTCCGGCTCCTCCTCCAGCAGCTGCACACCACAGAAGGGGGCAGGCGGCCTTGGAGACAGAGGGGGGTGCAGCAGTCCCTGTTCACTCTCAGGAAAAGGCAGCTGCCTAGGGAGAGGGCAACTCGTTTCTTACACAGAACTTTCTCCTACTGGAGAAGAAACAGCGCCACCCTGACAGGTTCCTCTCCCTGTCCCTCCCTGGCTCGGGCTGACCAATCCCTGACTGGGAGTGAGTTCTGCATCTGCCAGAGGTTTCCCCTCTGCTCGGAGCCTGCCTTGCTGGGCAAGCAGATGAGATGGGCATCCCAAGGTGTGCAGGGTGGGTCCTTCCTAGGGCTGGCAGATGGCTGGCACTGTCCCTGCAGGGAGGACAGGTTCAGGGTCTCTCGGATTAAAGAAGGTGTAGGAGCCATTCCCAGCTGCAGTCAGAGGGCCCTGCTAAGCAGTGGAGGAGTCTTGGGGACCGGCAGTTAGGAGGGAAGCAGAGGACCTCGCCTGTTTCCCAGGGCCCCTGCGTTGTGCCTGAAGGCTGCGCACGCTCCTCCTGTGACTGGTCACAGCTCTGTTGTTCTGGCGCAGACTGTTCCTGTGTCCACTACAGATGGGGAACGCAGACCTTGTGTGCTGTGGGCTCGGGTGCCGGCGTATCTGCTGAAGGTGTCCCTCCGCAGTCTCCGCTGTTGTGTGCGATCACTCCCCATTGTAGTCCGTGATTCGAGTAGACACAAGAAGGTTGCATTTCTCCCCAACTGTTCAGAGGATTTTGGAAATTAGTGCTAAAATGAAATTACTAGTAGAAGAAAGCTAAGTGATGGTAAAACTAATTTTAGGCAATACAGAATCACTCATGTCTGTCTCTTGCAGTAAGAATTTGGCTTTTGTACCTGGTGGGTGCCAGGCACTGGTGGCTGTGACAGCAGCATTGTGCATTTATTGTGTTTAGTGAGCTAGGCACTCTCCAGGGGGGTATTTTCTAATTTAAAAATATAGGAGGATAGCAAGCCTCTCTCCAGGGAATTAACATAAAGATACGAAAACAATTTCAAATTCCTAACTAAAAATTATAAAACCCCTGTGAGAGCTGTCACCTAAAGTGTGGGCTTTTTCCAGCATCCACGTTCTGCTGCTAAAGAGAAAGGCTTTCACACACTGTATTATCAGAGCAGGCTCTGCAGAGATCTAGGCTCAGGGGAGGCTGAGCCAGGAGTGCAGTGCTTCACCTCGGAGCCTGCAAGTTCCAAGTCTGAGGAGACCAGGCACCAGGTAGAAATCTGTGGGGAGATGGAGAAAACGAGAACACGTCCAACACAGGAACTTGTATTGAGTTTCAGAGGGAATTCCAGCTGACAGAATCGGTCAGCCAAATTGCTATTTTAAAGACATCAGAATTTTGTTCAAGCTCTCTTTTGGGGATTATATATTTATAGGTGATAGAAAAAAGCAATTAAGGCCGGCAAAATAGCTCAGAGGATTAAAGCACCTGCAAACATGAGCAGGGGCTGGGGTTTCGATCCCCAGGCCTGCTGTGTGGCCCTGCCTCTGGGACACACTGAAACGGCAATTGAGACTGGGTGTAGTGGTGC